GGAGACCCCCCCCCTGGGGGGCAAGCCTCTGCGGCCAAGCGGCAGCCTCAGGGACGCGGGCCCTGCGCGCCTCGCCGGGGCGAAGGCGCCTCGTCAACGTTGGCCGTCCGCGACTGAAGTAAGGCCTCGCATCCGGCGCCCGGGCCTGCCCGCCTCTGTGCGGGGTAGTGCGAGGGTCGCCTGCCAACGGGGCTGCTCTTTCGGGAAACGCGGGCTTGCCTGCACCCGGAATTACGGTTTGCGGGGTGCAAACGCGTGCCCTGACGCTCCTGCGTGTCTTTGCGGATCCCCGTGTGGCTCCTCTGGAAGAGCTGGTCTTGAGCAAAAATAAACACGAACTCAGTCGTACTGAAACGTGGTCTTAATCTAGCTGAGGAAAACGTTGAGTAAAACATAGTAGTAGGCACAGTGCTATTTCTTAGATAAGTAGTTACGCACTGATTCAGTGGGTGTCAGCCGGATTGACATGCAAATGACAGTGATGTGTTGACACGTTATTCTGGTGCTGTACAGTACTGGCAATGTACAAATCCACAGAATATATTGACGAAGAATCACTCATTTGGTATGTTTTAGCACACCCAACAAATAACTGAGATATTTACAGACGTTAATAAACTAACCTTCAGCATAGTTAAGTGCTGCAGTTAAGTCTAAATTGTATGTTACAGGTTTTACTTACTGTCTTCAGTTGTCTCCATAAATGTAGAATTTGGATGCTGTTCTGGAGTTCCAGCTCTCTGGAGACCTTGGATTTGAACGTAGCGATAGCTTAAACAAGTGGGCCTGTCCGAGGTGTGGGATGCAGCTGCTGTCAACTTTATGAGCAGAAACTAGCATAGTCTTCTTGCAAAATAGAAGACAGCTTGGATGTATTGCTTGTTACTTTGATGGCAGTGTGGTTCCCTGCTTGCAGTTGAATAATCTTACTCAGATGAGACTAAGATTAGATATCCTGATACAAGTCCGCAGTACACTTAGGTGTAGATGGATGAAGGGCCTTGCCAGAGGTCATTCAAGAAGTCTGAGGCAGAGCTGGCTGGTTATACAACCCTTGATGCCCATTGCTTTTTCTGCTGTATGAAAAGGAGCTTGGTAGTTTGCTTTATTAATTTTTTCCTTCTCTCTTACAACCCTGGTTTTCAGTCCATCAGAGCAAAGTTTTTAAAAGAGCATTATTCACAAAATTTCTCTAAAATTCACCTATAGTTCTGTTAAATGTATAACACTAGAACAGTATTATGAAAGATTTTTTTTGCATTTACAGCAGAAGTGTTTTTATATATATGATTTGAAAAAATATCTTGAGAAACCTACTTTTATTGTCTTCATTTTCTTTTTTTTTTTTATGACATGCTTACAGAATTGTAGGTGATGATGATGGAGGAAAGCTCTTTACCCCTGAGGAATATGAGGAGTACAAAAGAAAGGTATTACCAATTCGGTTACAGAACAGGTTGTATGTGAGCTGGAGATCACCAACTGGCATGGACTGTAAGCTTGTGGGACCAGAGACGCTGTGCTTTTGTACTCACCGGTAGGAGTCTTTTCATTTTTTTGAACTGTTGTATTTTTTGAAATGAGGAAAACGTAAAATGTTTCCAGATACATTACAGTACAGTATAGGCAAGTTAATTTAAGATCTAATGGTGGAGAAGATTAGGTTTTAAATCATAAGAACTGTCCTTAAATCTAAATCTCAATACATTTTTTTTTACCAGAATAATTTTGTAGTCTTCAACAAATTCAACTTAAAGGCATGAGTTATTGTAGACAGATTGATTCTGATAGTGTTGTCAAAATGAAACATAAGGATTTGTGATGGTTATGTAATGAATGGATCTAAAAGCACCCGATATTATGCATTTAATTGAAAATTATCAGTAATTAATATAATTAAAGATACTTCAAAACAGAACTTGTAAGATAAATTAGAAGCCTTTCAGGTAGTTTTCTGATAAATACTAACAAAGTTATAAAAGTTATTATTTTTACCTGTTTTAGGTATAAACAACACAAAACGGACCATGAAGTGATTCCCAAAGACCGTCCTATTTGTGTGCCTTGTAGAGTGAGCCGTTGTCCCTGCCAGTCCTATCACTATGTCCCTCTAAACGGCACACAGCCCATCCGTTGTAGATGCAAACACTTTGCTGATCAGCACAGTGCAGCACCTGGATTTTCATGTAACTCTTGTAAGTTACTGATGGACTTGCAGGGTTCTTTGCTAGGAAACTTAACAGGAATAGCATGTTAGGGATCTGTATTCTGCCCAGGGTATTAGGTATGTGCCGCACTTGTCACTGATGCGTATTTTGGTGCTTGCAGAGGGATGGGAAATGGGAAGGAAGCCATCGCCTTTTGCACAGGAGGGTTTAGAACAACATCCTTAGCTTCCCCAAGTTCTGTGAAGGAGCGTAAGTTTCTGAATGATTTGGTTAGGTACCTATGGAGACAGCCACCTAAAGTTAGGTGGTATGAAAGCACCCCATTTGCAGTTTGTCATTTCCACTGCTGCATGCACGCGACTTTTCTACTTGAACTTGGTAGTTTGAGAGAGACAAGTGTTGATCTCCATTCCTCTATTGCCTGGTTGAATATAACCTTAATGTATTTTTATATCTGTTCTCAACTCAATAGAAAGTAGCATTCTGTTCCGAAATAGTACTATTGTTAACACTCTAGCAAAGCAGTTCTCGAGCGTACAGATTGTGGGTCCAGAAATGCAAATGGGAATAGAGTATCAAGCAAAAGGTTTGAGAAGGCATTAAGAGGAAGCTTTTTGCTTGAAATGAAACAGCAGTAATTATTAACCATAGAAACTAAATAATGCATAAAGAGGTTTTAGTTTGAAACCTTGGGTTATGTAAGCTGAAGATTTTTTTGTTCTGTACTGTTAGTAAATTTCTTTCATGAAGTCTGTCTAATTTGTACAGGAAAAATTATAAAGAGCTTTTGTTAGATGAGAATCATATTCCACAGAATAAAACATAAAATATGACAGCCTTTCAAGAATTTGCTTTAAGTAATATGAAAGTCTTAATTGGATGATTCAGACTGAATTCTTAGAACACAGTGTTTTTAATAATTATTTACATTATGCACTTTTTCTAGTGTTTCTCAAAAATACCTGACACTTCAGAGGGCTTCAAAGATTATACAGAGAAGTGCCAAGACTCGCTTCTATTTTGGACTCGTGTTGTTTTAATGTACTGGTATTAGTCTGGCCCAGTGCTGTATAATTCTAATGTGATAGGTAAATTAGAGATGTACTCTCTTTATAATCGAAAAAATATTGCTGTTGCGCTTTATATATTGTATATACTTTATTCTGTATCCAAACACAGAGTAAGATCTCTGTCACTGAGGAGTACCCAAAATGATATGAAAAAGCCTTTAACATTTCCAAGAGTGTGATCCTTGAACGTATTACACAAGACTTGAAACAAAATCTTTCTTGGTGCTCTGCAAAATGAACTGTAACTGGGAGCTGGAGGCAGGGTAATGTGTATAATGAAACATTTGCAAAATCAGTTCCTCAATTTCTTGTTCACATCATTGCTCCAGCAGGGCTTTGGTGACAGTCTTAGCTGTAGCTTGGGCAGATATATCACTTCACTCTGTGTTTCTGAATGTCACATGTCATTTGTGTTTCAGTTACATCCTGTGGCTTAAAAAACCCTTGAAAATCAGTCTAATGATACTCTTACATAGAACCGATTTTGCTGTTGCCTCAGCCTCTGTTTACTATCCAGATAATTTTGCTAGTTTTAAAAGACATTTAAATTGTGATTTGTATCATAAATTGCAATTTGAAGTTTTCTGGCCGTGCAACCTTGACACATGCTGTACACCTTTGGAGATAATACTGCCAATATGATGGCAGGTTGTCGTCTTTACCCAGTGACAGAATTTTTTCTCTTTATTTTTTGTCAGTGGAGGGATAGAGAAGGGTGTTACTAATGGCAATGGATGGAAGCTGCAAAATAGGAAATCCAATTAGATATTAGGAAGGAAATGTCTGCTTAAAGTGAAGACCAGCATTGGTCCAGGCTGCTCAGACAGGTGGAATCTCCATCCTCTGAGGTGCTCACAACTTGACTGAATGAGACCCTGAGACTGGGTGACCCCTATGATCTAATCCCCATATTCATCCTTTCTCCTGTTCTATACAGCATTTTCATATCATGATGAAAAGAGGCTGTAAAAGGTTTCAGCAAAGATAGCTGATTGCTTTGCCCCAAATCACGTGCATGCTTCCAAATAAAAAGCATAGCTGGATGCTTTTGCAGTGAAGGAACTCTAGTTTTTGACAAGACTGGTTTAGGGAAACACCATTTTGTCTGCAATGAAGTATAAATTCCATGATCATCTCACTCATTACACTTACTTATTTGTTAATTAGGTTCCAAGTGTTCGGGCTTTCATAGTTGCTTTACCTGTGCATGTGGTCAGCCAACATACGTTCACGAAACAGTCGTGGAAACTAAACAAGAGCGCTTAGCCCAAGGCAAGCCCGTGGGGCAGGATGTTCCTTATGCTGCTATGGGAGGACTGACTGGTTTTAGTTCACTAGCAGAAGGCTACATGAGACTCGATGACAGTGGAATAGGTAAGTGCAGCTGACCTGAGATGAAATTTTAATTCTCCAACTAACTAGTTTTGAAAAGTAGTAATTCAACATAGGCATTGAAAGTACGAAGGCAAACTGGATCAATAGCAGTAGGACTTAAGACAGATTTTTTTTTTTTCCCATCAGTCCTTAGGTGTGAAGAGACCACTATGTCCATCTTGTCCAACTTCCTGTAGTGAATTGATTAAAAAAAACCTCTTTATCAATAATTCTGGTGTTCAGCCCAGTAGCTTCTGGTTGAAGTGGAGCATATCTTTTAGAAAGAACTCTGTAACTTCTGTTTTTCTCTTAATACTTCCACGTTATATTTACGTTAATCCTTTAGCCTAATACTGCCCAGGTATTTCTTGGTTATACAGTTACAGCATTTTTTTTTCCACACTCAAAGGTTAATAGCTGTTCAGCATAAAAAAAAGGAGGTAATTTGCAGAACTTTATTTTTGACAGGCATGTTAGTTGGCCTTGATACCTCTGCTGCTCTGTGATTTCGTGTCATTTAGTAATGGACACATTTTGTCCTGAAATACCGTTTTATTTATTATGGCCATGTACTCGTTATTTCTTTTTAAAATTCTGATCTGGTTTCCTGGATTTGTCTGAAGTTTAGAAGCTATAGCATAGCTGTAGTAATTAAAGAAACAAAGTTTTTCATTTCTTTTGAAGCCTTTTCTGCTTTTGTAAACTTGAGTTTATGGGGTCTGCACTGAGTGTTGTAGCTATTAATCTGTACCCTGGTTTTGACCCCATCATGTATGATCTTTATGTACCTTGTGAAGTTAATTTTTGTTTTCATTCAACTTATTTTCTAGCAGGGGCTCCTTCTGCTGAACTTTTAGAATCCCCTGTTACCAGCATGGATCATCCATTTCTAAAAGCATTTCAGGGACCTTCTAGTTCTGCTCAAACCATCTCACAGATAGCAGGTGCTATATTAGTAGGATAATACTGTTTTACAAAAAGTATTAAATAGAAAATTAATTGGTTTTATTTATGAGTTTAAGGATGTTTAGGGCTAAAATCATAGTTAAAAATTGAAATGAATATTGAAGCCTTGTTATGTGAAAATTTAGTACAACATTCATATACTTGAAGAATAGAATAACTGTTTTGTTACTGCTTGTTATTTTTGGTCATGATGTGCTTTTTAACTTTAATGATCTTTTTCATTATTGCATCACTCATTTGGTATCTTCCCCATTAATGGTGTCACTTATTCATTGGATGAGTTTTTTAAATTTTTAATTCCTACTAGAAGCTCATCATGTCTGAATGGATTGTACATATTGAGCGCAGTCCTGTGAAACTGCCTTCTGCCAGAAAGTCTTGGCTGCATGGAATTATGGATTAGTTATGCTTATTTTATGATGTCCCTTATTTAGTATAAGAATTGAGCAATTAGTATAACTGTCGAACTCCTCCAAGACTATTTATAATAGCTGCTAGCCTAGACTAAAGAGGTTACTCTTTGGTCCCTGCTGCTGGGGTTTGTTACTTGCCTATAAAGGTGAGTTCTCATTTTAAATGTGGTTTGCCAAATGTAAAACATAACTAATGGAATAGCAAGTATCATTAATGAAGAAAGTTTTGGGTTTTTTCTTTTTTTTTTCTTCAGGTGGTTCTAGTGCCACAAGGCAAGTTTCTCATGGAAAGCATTCAGAAGATGATGACATGGCTTACTTTGAAAAACGTTATCAAGAACGGGCAAGTTACTACATTTGTTGCTTAATTCAAATGTATTTTCACAAGAGGATGTCTAAAAAATATAAATGTATGATTTAAGTGGCATATAAATGCATTATATTATTTGCTCTCTTCCTGAGAAAACACTAGCTGCTTAAAGTTTTAAATACAATTATGAACTATTGCAGGATTTCAGAGGTCAGTCATGTCTGGGATGGTATTTACCTTAACTGGGCAGATTTTTCTTGAGGTAACTCTCCATTATAGAAAAACAAAATATTTTACTATGTGACAAAAAGAAACAACAAAGCAGACTCACAGAAAGTCACCTGTGACATTTAGGAATGTGTGTTTGCTACCTCATTTACAAAACTTTATGATGTTCTTTTCCTTACGAATATCTGTGTAGTTGGGCTAAATCTGGTGCGTCTTTCTTAAATGATCTGAATTACCCTGATCTGATGCTTAAATACTTATTCCCCACATTAGCTCCTTAGCTCCACCATCTCTGTTGGAAGTATATCTTGACTGTTTATGAATTCTTTTGTAAGACAATGTTGCATAATTAACTTCAAAAACCTTAACTGATTAAATACCTGTTATGCTCGCTGCTTGCAACAAGGTGTTTGTAAATGAGAAAGTTGTTCTAGCTTTGTGAAATTTTAAACCATTTTTGTCATTTTGGAAATCATCCCAAAATATGGTAAGATGTTGCATATATACTCTCAGTTTATAGAAGAAAACATGTTACTATCAAATCCAAATTCCTACGTTTCTTTTTCCCCCTAAGATTTTTTCTTTGCAAAAGGTAGTAGGAATTTCAGATACAAACCTCAAGCCTCCAAATATGGAAAAATGTTTTAAAATGAGTTCCTGTGTAGACCAACAACAGGATTGCTGGCCAACATCCAGATCAGGACTGGGGCCTTGCTTCCTTTTGACACTATTTTATGTGAAAAAAAGCATGTTTAAAACATTATTTTATTTTTCCTTGCCTTTTTGATAGCAACATGATACGTTAGATGAGATGCAAAAGTCCATGCCTCCGTTTTATGTAATTGGTCTAAATAGAATTTCATTCACTAATGTAACAATATTTGAGAACAACTGTTGCTTCTAAAAACAACAGGTATATTTGTTTGGATTAATAGTCTTACTACAAAATGGCAGTTAAATGTACGTGTGTTGGTAAATCATACCATGCTATAAGAGCCTACTGGGTAGAAAAATCTTACGAGAGGAAGACATGACCTTGTGAGTCAGTGAGGAGGCACTGAGATGGAGGTTTAGGATCTATCTCAGCAACAAGCTTCCTATGTGATTTTGTGCATGCTCCTTAGTCTAATTGTGTCTGTTACATGTCTGTAATAAAACTTCTTTACGTTTCATTGCCGTAAAGATAAAACCGTGAACATTTGTGAGGCACTCTGGCCTTGAGGGATACATAAATACCTAGATTGCTATTACCAGAGATAAAGGCAGCCCTGGTTTGAATAGGGGAGCAGCTGCAGAGCTATGGAAGTGCTCCTTTGTCCTATGATGCAAAACTAAGCAATGCTAGGTTAGGCTAATAATGATCTGTAGCTCTCTCCGTCGCATATATCACTCTGGTAAATTTATGACTAGATGTAGAGATTTAATATTGCATTACTAGCCGAATTGCAAATTAATGCTTGAACCACTGTTGGGATCTTTCTTTGTTACAGCTTGAAAAGGAGAAGGCTGCTAAACAGAAAGAGAAAAGTCCAGTGCCATCAAAGAAGCCATGAGATTAATAAAGAAATATTTACTATATGGCACAGTGTTAATTGTTATATTGAACAGTATTTTTCACTGTGCTTACCCGCATACTTGTATTTCTTAATTTCTTTGTTCTGCTGTTTTGGTCTATTGCTGAAATTAATTTTTAATTATCTTGTTGTAATAAAGTTGATACTTTAATCAATGTGTTTCTGATCTCCAGAATTGTTACACAGATATTCCTTTGAGAGTGGAAAATCATATTTAGAGATTTACAGAACTGTTACTTAAGATCTGCGAGAATAAGTATGTATTTAAGTATTACAGTGTAGTAAGGCAAAGAAAATATATGGTCCTATTCTTAGCCTTTTATGACGCACTTTCTTTATTTGTAGAGTCCTTAGAACTCATCTTGTTCATGGATTTTTACTTGACAGGATTTGTTCTGTTAATATTGACATTTTTTCTTTAAATCTTTTTTTTTTCCTTTTTTGTTGGTTTCATCGCCTTTACATAAAATTCAAACATACCCTTCTTCACTCACACTTCTCTAGGCTTTGTTCTTGCCAACGTATAAATATTTTTTACATGTGAAGTTCTATATGCATGTAAACTCATTTCCACGCATACTTACTAGCTGCTTGAAGGGATCCTGCTTGTATACTTTGTCCCGGTTTCCTCTAGCGGTACCATTCTCCTGATTCTGTTTGTCTGATACTGTCCATAACAGTGATTCTATTACAGTAAGCTTCTGAAAACACTAAGTGGAAATGGATATGCTATTTATTGCATGTAAACAAATAATTATATAGTGTTTGATGTAAACTTACTTATCCAACAGAATACTCTGTGTCTAATCCAACACAGACCGAGTCCATCGAGAATGGAGATGTGCTTTTGTATTCTTTGTCCATATTCACAGCTGTGACAGCATATGTTGTGTTCAAGGTAGGGGACAGGAAAATTTAAAATTTGGTAACTTTGTGTGGTGGTTCAGATCTGCGAAGCCACACAGCAAGAACTTAGTACAGAATAACTGGCAGAGGCTGCAGTTTAGGAGGCAAAAGCAGAGCCTGAGCTGACTTTGTTAGTCTCCTTTGAAAACAGAGAGGTATAAGTCAGTTTATCCTTAAAAATTCTTGAAGATGTCTCTCTGACTGAAGATTTTTCAGGTGGAATGTGTACTGAGACTTTATAGCAAGAGTTGGGAGAAGCTTGCAAAGCTGTCATTCCCATCAGAGAGAATGCCTCTGTCTGCCTGACGCCTTTATGTGCCTGACCAGCAGAGGAAAAGAGGTGACGTTGAATGTATTTGGTGCAGGGCAACTTGCTTTTTTGGTCAGATACCAGCTGTGGGAGGGAAGGAGGGTTCCTGTGAGTGCTTGCAGTCGTACAACGACTGATGGAGGCGGCTGAAATCCGAGTGAGAAGGGAATGGAAGGCTTAATTGCTCAAATTCAAAGATTAAAAAAGGCCATTTACCTTAACTCCGAGCTAGACTGCCATTAGTACAGATGCCAATCGTAGAGGTTAATCCGTTACTTTAATTTAAATGCATAATATATCAAAGTGTCTAATGAATGTTTTAAAAGTACCTATACCTTTAAATTCTACACTGTAACATACTGCTTTAACTTAATAAATAAAAATATTCATTTGAGCTCCCTCTTCTGGTCCTAATAAGCAATTATTTCTACAGATAGTCTCATAAGTCTCACAATAGAATTATAAGAGACGAACATGTAAATAACATTAGTAAAAAATGGTAAATAAAGATATAGAAAAATATTTTTATTGCAGTCTTCAGAGAGATTATTACAGGCTTAGTAGCGGAAGTTTATTCTACTTTTGTATTTATCCCCGTGGCTATACCCATTAGGGAGTGCAGTTCCAGAAAGGTATGTGTGTTTCAGAGATGAGGTTTCTCACGGCAAAATATTGTTATAGACAGAGTCTTTAATAGTTATAAAAAACTCTGCATTTTGTTTTTATACTGGTAACATAACTTTTTACTTTTAGGAAATAATGTATCATGCTTTTATTCACATTTTGAGTTAAAAATACTTGCCAGTTTTAAATGTTCTGCCAAATTCAGTCTTAGTAAACTGTACTTCGATCATCATGAACTCATTTTATCCAAGCCAATTTTAAAAAAGTTTATTCAGTGCTTAAACTTATTTAAAATTTTCACTTAAATGATACTAAAAAGTTACTACATTTATTTCATATTTCTTTTTAGTTGGAAAACACATGGGATCATAAAAACATCAACTGCATTAAATATTGCTTAGGAGTTCTGACCACTTTTCACCCATGTTGATGATGTCCAAGTAAAAGAAACTCACTTTCCTTACTAGAAGGCATACTTTTGACTTCTTGGTACTCATGTACTACTTTTTTGCAGAATTTTTATTCATATCTATACATGAAAAACCAGATACAATACATCTCATAATGTCGCTGCCTGTGAAGACTGGACAGTGATGTCATGTCTTAAGTGAAATTTGCACTTAACTGGAATTACTCTTATTTTTATAAAAAAAAAAAATCGTTTTGTAGGATAAAAATTGCAACCTCCAGTTCTATTGAAAAATCACTTTATGCTTCTATTAGGAAAATTTTTGTAAAGGTAAAAGCAGAGACCACGTGCTAGTATGTTTGCATTAACAGTGGTCATTAAATAAAAGAGCTCAGTTTAACGTGTACTTGTTGATGGTTTCTTTTCCCCGAGAGCAGTCGTGAACTTTGAACGCAACATCATGAGACAGGTAAGTTATCATTTCATCTGTATGATTTATTTGTGGGCGTATATCTGTCGTTCAGCTATAGGCATTAACCGTTTCTGACTCTAATCCAAGGAATCTGGCATGGGAGGAATGGTTTCTTGTCATACGCCGAGTGCTCTGAGCTGGTAAAGCCTAATTGCGTAGGTCTTGAGCAATGCTTAAGCACTTCTCTTTTTTTTAAGTGGCTGGCTTTCAAATCAATGTTTTGCCATTATTATAACGCTCCTAGAGTGTAGAACATCATTTTTTCACTAGCTTTAATTATCCTATGAAAAGGCTTAGCTGTACCTTGGTTATTTATGATAGTAGAGGCTGGTCAGGGATCCTAAGTGGAGGGCAAGGGGCTCCTTCCCCTTCTGTGCTTCTCTGATGCTAAATATAAAACACGTCTGTCTTGTGTTTGGGAGGAAAGGGAGCGTAATGTGTGAATTCACAGCCAGTAACAGCATCCGTGCCCAACTACTTTGTCAAGTTGTCAGCGTCTTTACAGCATGTTGTGCATATTGAACGGTTTGCAGGTCTCGGGTCCGCACATCCCGGGAGTCTCTAGCAGTTGTTTTGTTGTAGCCATGTAGCCTAAGGAAAAAGACAACTTGGCAGGTAGTGATAGTAAGTTTCTTAGCACAAATGTAATTGAAAACAACAACAAAGGTTTTCCAGTCTAAAAGGCCTTGCACAGGTGTACCTGTTTGGGGTTTTTTTTGGTAACAAAAGATACTACTTTTGTCTAGAAGCCTACTCTTGCTTTGGAGCCCTTAGCATTTGTCTTCTGGTAGAGTAAATCGTTATTTGCTTTACACTGGTTTTAGCTCTAGTTTTACATTCACTGTACCTGTGCTGGCCGGCCCTGGCTGGGCACTGAGCCCGCGGGCTCCTTCAGTGACCTCCCCAGGGAAAGTCCCCGGCTCAATCGCAACATGTCACCCGCCGAACAGCGGCACCCCGCCTTGCTAACGGCTTCATCAGTTTTCGTTCTCGTATTAAATAAGACGGGAAAATGGCAAATCGCTGCATGGGAAACCAGAAGATGAGCGCCGACACGTCGCACAGGGGTTGGGATGGGCACCTTCGAGGGGTACGTCGAGGCCGGCGGAGAGCGCGCCATCAACGCGGGAGCCTCCGTCGCTTATCCTTCAAGACCGGCATCAGCATGCGCTGATCCTTTTGCGTGCTGCAGGACGCCCCCGAGCATACAACTTGTAGAAAAAGCCTGGTGCCCGCAGGCTTTGCAGAGCACCGTTGCCCTGCGCCGGGCAGGGCGGCCCCGGCTGAGGTGCGGGGCAGGCGCAGGCGGGAGCGGCGCACGTTTCATTGCGCGGGTACGGGGAGGGCGCCGCTCCCGAGTGCTGCCGCCTCACGACCCCA